TCTTTTCGACAATTTTTTTCTCAACATTCTTGATTTTCTAGGGTCTGGTACGATACGTCGAAATTTAAATTGTCGAAACTAAAAACACCGAAAAAAAATTTCGAAAAAAAATTGTTAGAATAGAATAGAACTATTAGCAAAAAACCAACAATACCAACAACCACATGATCAAGTGAATTGCAGCGGAATAGCTGCGCTTGATTGTGTTGGCATAACAAGAATGAAAATAGTGGAAAAAAGCTAACGATAATTTACAAGGCGTACTTAGCACGGTGCATAGGCAACTGGCTGAGTCAGTATTTTTTCAAATTATTGTTGCTTTTCCACAATAAAAATTTTCATTTAAAACGGCTTCGAGCTCAATATAAACTGTTGAGTTTAAACGAAATATTTTAATGTGAGTATTAAACGAGAATGCTTTATTGTAGAAATATTTTTAGAGAGTTGCCATCTTTTCAAAAAGTTAAAATCAATTTAAATAACACGTTAAAAAATTTTTTTCTGCGTAGATTTGCAGAACTTTCTTTTTCCATCTTAGGAACTCTAGAACATTTGAAAATCTACTCAGAATACTTTTAATTTGGGTCTGGTACGATACGTCGAAATTTAAATTGTCGAAACTAAAAAAACCGAAAAAAAGATGTCGAAAAAAAATTGTTAGAAAATCAATAATGTCGAGAAAAAAATTGTCGAAAGGAAAAATGTCGAAAACAAAAAATGTCGAAAATAAAAATGTCGAAAAAAAAAATATCGAAATAATGTAATGAATGATGTGTAAAATTCGCGCGAATTTTACACATCATTCATTACATTATTTCAAAAGGTTGATTTATTTAAGTTAAATTCCACTAATCCTATGTACTAATATAATAAATGTAAAAGTTTGTGAGTGAGTATGTTTGTTGCTCGTTCACGCTAAAACGTCTAGATATATTTCAATTAAATTTGGAATATAGGTATAATATACTAACATATAAAATATTTTTTGGAGTTGCCACCTCTTTCAAAAAAAAACGCGATTAATTAACAAGTTTAACAAAATATTAGCAAGCGAAAGCGGTTCAGAAAATATATATTTCGGAAGTATTTTGTAATAGGGTTGCCGCCTGTTAAAAAAGTAAAAGTCAATTAATTGATAACTAAATATACTTTAAGACGGTTGCTATCTGTTTAAAAAGTTTAAATCAATTCTTTGAAAAAGTTTAAACGAAATATTTTAATGTGGGTATCAAACGAGAATGCTTTATTGTAGAAATATTTTTAGAGAGTTGCCATCTTTTCAAAAAGTTAAAATCAATTTAAATAACACGTAAAAAAATTTTTTTCTGCGTAATTTTGCAGAACTTTCTTTTTCCATCTTAGGAACTCTAGAACATTTGAAAATCTACTCAGAACACTTTTAATTTTAATTTTTTTCACACATTCAACTTTTTCGACTTTTTTTCGACAATTTACGCGTTTTGCATTTCTTTCGACCTTATTCATTTCGAAAGCATACGATTTCGACATTTTGCGTTCCGGTTAAACATTATTTCGAGATTTAAAAAAATTTTAAATTTCGACATTTCTCTTTCGACATTTTTATTTTCGACTTATCGTACGGATCCCTTTTAATTTTTATTTTTTTCACACATTCAACTTTTTCGACTTTTTTTCGACAATTTACGCGTTTTGCATTTTTTTTCGACCTTATTCATTTCGAAAGCATACGATTTCGACATTTTGCGTTTCGGTTAAACATTATTTCTCTTTCGACATTTTTATTTTCGACTTATCGTACGGATCCCGATTTTCTAACTATTTAGTTTCGACAATTTAAATTTCGACATATCGTACCAGACCCGTTACACATCATTCATTACATTATTTCGACATTTTTTTTTCGGCATTTTTATTTTCCGACATTTTTAATTTCGACAATTTTTTTCTCGACATTCTTGATTTTCTAACTTTTTTTTCGACGTTTTTTTCGGTGTTTTTAGTTTCGACAATTTAAATTTCGACATATCGTACCAGACCCTGCTGGTTCTTCAAAATTTTATTACCTTCAACTTCATAGAACTTAACTATAGTTGCCATTAATAATATACATTTTCATTTCAGTGCCGTTGCCCATCGGCAACCCAAAGTCGGTTGAGTTTTCATCCATAATCGACCCATCAAATTGGTATGGGTTTAAATTCACTCGGATTTGAATTGCAGAACCTGCCTGAATATCTTTATTAATATGTGTATAATATGGATTGAATGATGAAAGCTGCTATCATTCGATGGTTATTATGCAGAGTGTAGTTGTAGGCAGCGTCTTTCTTACCTGCTTTATGGTCCTCGTCGTGCAATTTTTTTTTTGGGCTTCACTAAAATCTAATTACTTTCTCAGTCACCATTTATGGTGTTTTAAAGATTTTCCTTCGCTAGGAAGTAGGCGTCAAACGACTGCGCCCACTTTGCAAAAAAAATCATGCAGCCGAGCCAGTGTGCCCCCCCCCCCCCGCTTTTAGTTCTACATAAGTTGATGTGCTGTAATTGTCCCACATTGTTCCTGCTTTCAATCGCCGTAGCCAATAAAATATAAATATAGATCTTTTCGTATTATTTTGGGTTTATTATATCTATTCAGTGTAAAAAGGAAATTTTGCATCATAAACTATGCAAAAAAAAATCTTAAATAATATGCACAGAACATTATCTTGTTTTGAATTGTGTTAACTGAATAAGCATGCATTGTGCTCAAGACTTTAGTTAGCAGGTGATTTTACTTTTATTATTATTATTATTATAATTAAAAAAATACGAAAAAGCGTTGGAAAGAGTACGGAAGGTGTATCAAGTATTCAGCGTATATACTAATAATAATAGAACAGTATTTTGACTTGCGAACAAATACAAATATTACGAAAAATCACTGATATGCGACAATGTGTAACAAATATCAACGTTTTTATATAAAACAAAACTGATACCAATATATTATACAATACCAATATAAAATAATCACCTAGGTCCTTCAAAGAATTAAAAAAATAAAGATTTCGAAGTGCCTTGGAAACGTAAATCATAAAGGTGTTGTAATTTTCTCAACTTCCGGCCAAATTCAGTACGAAATCTATATTATTTAGCCAACACATGTCATTTCTATATAAATGTTGAATTATAAACAGGGCCGAAGAAAATAAGCAAGAAATGCTTAGATAAGCACTAAAACATTGGTAAATGTTTGACTCAGTGAGAGGGCAGGACCAGGATGAATGCATTTGCATAAAAATTTATTAAAACAAAAATGTTTTGGGTAGGTGTCGGGGACAATTGATAACCATCAGTTAGTTGTAAGTCATGCAGAGTCCCTACGGCTTGTAGCGCTGTGGCTTTGCTGCCGCTTAAACTCTGTAAGAGTTTTTGGGGGCATGCGTCAAGCGGGAGTGTTGAGCACCGGTTATTTATTCAAATTATAAAATTGGGTAGGCGCTGTGGCCAATGGTAGCTCTTGTACCACCTCTGTATGCCGAAAGCCATCCAGAGCCCCGTGAGACAACTCCGGAAGAGTTGTGATGCATCAAGCGGGTGTGTTGAGCATGATTTGGGGTGCCAGCAATTAACTACTTTAGTAGGTTTTGCTCTGCGGCAGTTGAGAAGTGCATAAAAAATGCATACCCAATGAAGAACGAGCGAATTATTTTTAAACAAGTGCGTGTGTTTATTCGTTGCACTTGGTTTTGGGCGGGAGTGCAATACAAGTGCGTGTGTGTGTTCGCTGTTCTTTCTTTATGCGGGAAATGCATAAGTCGCTTAAACAGTAAATATGCTCGCGAAACAAAAAAACTTAAGTTCAGTTGAATGTTTTGTTTTTTTATTCAGTTTATTTAAAGGATTGAAATATTACAATGGACAATCAAGTGTTTCTTGATATTCGCAAATCTGCGCTGGTCGATTAAATTTTTTTAAATATTCATTATTTTCCATTAGAGATAAATTATTTTTAATCTCTTCAATAACTCCAATGCCTTCCCGTAGAGACAAACCGTAGGTTTTAAATTTTTGTATCCAAGCAGAAATGGCATTTAAGTTACGAGCCAAATTTTCTTAAGTAGTAAGAAGTTATTTAGAAGTTTGCTACGCTCTCTACTATGGTTTGCTGAAGTTTTTTTGCGAAGAGTACAAGGTACCCATGATAAAAACATCGTAAGGTAAAACCGTTCTCTCAATTCGTCGGCCATGATTTTTTTTTTGAAGTTTGCCAACATTTTAAAATCATATAAAATTGAGAGTAACAGAAACGAATTGTTCAAAGTTGTTGTTGTTTGAGATTGAAAATGAGAATGCGTGTGTGAGTTTGTGTGTAAAATTTTAAAATTAAATTGCTTGCAAACGTCAAGAATTTGAAAAATTCCTCTACCTTCCTATTTTTTTATTATGAAGGTGCCCATGGTGGAAAGATTTTTACACATGTCAGAAAATAAAGAGAGAAAGCTGTTTTCTTACCTCACCTGTTAATTGCGACATGCAAGGCACTCTTGTTTTCAACAGAATATATGCCCATCATGCCCATCATTTCGTAAGGAAAAAGTGAGACAGCAGGCTGTAAAATCTCAGATATCAAAACTCCTTGGACACAACTTTTCACACACACGAAATAATAGAAATTTATTTCTTGAACGTTTTCTTAAAAGGCTCGTACATTGAAATAATCAAAATAAGCAAGAATGTTGAAATCAAGCTTAGAAACCCTGAATAAACAAAAAAAGCATTACCAAGCAAAAGCTTAAACTTTTCGGCCCCGGTTATAAATATGGTCAATATTTTTAAGTTTGTATAATATGTATGTATGTATATTAAGAAGATTTTGTAATTATTCTGTGATTTATATCCTTGATTTCGGTCTTATTCAAACACATTATAATTCAATTGCCAAACTCTGCACATTCGCTGATTTCCTTGTTAATACTAGTATAACTTCACCGCAATATATTCTCGCATTAACTTCATACTTATTTAACTATTACTTCGTTTAAATATGCTTTATTGTTTATTATTCTTTGAAAAATTATGCGAAGCCCAATTCAAAGATGTTTTCCACGAATTGACTAAAGCCTCACTGAATTTTGAACGAAAGTGTTCCCGAGCTTTCTCTTCAGTGTAGTCAAGAACCTTAAAAGGGAAAGTGATTTAGCCAAAATGAAAAATATTCAACTTTGTGTACATACCAATGTTTCCTTTAAGTAGTTTAAGTCTTTTTCCGAGGACAATTCTGGCAGACCGGTTGATATCATCATAGAAAAAAGAGACAGTATAAGGCAGCCATGCTTGCGTAACACTAAAAATGCCTGGAATATAGAAGCGAACAAATCAACATATGTATGTACATGAGATTTAAAAAATTTGTAAATACATATGTTGTAAGTAGTTGTATTTAATTTTTTCCTTGCCTTTTCACACATGTTTTGAAAATATATAAATTCCTCCGAATCACGGTCATTACGTCCCTTGCTGATGACATACACAAAGTCGTGGGTTAATACAAAAGGAACGCGCTCTCGGCGTACCCCAAATTTCTCTTTGAAATGTCCTAGAATATGACCGAAGTCGATGTGAAAAAGCTATACGGCCAAAAAGTAACATATTTTAGCATTAATCTAATGTGTATATTTTTTTACACTTCACCTGTCCATTACGTTTGACCATGATATTGTCTGAATGCCGGTCGGCCACTCCCAGAACATAGGTGGCAACACAATATCCAGCGCAGCTTAGAGTAAATTCATTAATCGCTTTGTTCATTTCCTCGTCGGTGCGATTGTACTCCTTCAGCCAACTAAATAAAGAACCTTTTTTAAATGGCGACGTTGCTGAAAACATGCCTTTCTCCTTTTGAATATTTGCGATTGTTTCAGCGTTTAGCACAACCTCGATCATTCCTAGGCGACGTTCCATACTAATACAGTTGTAAATATTCATACGAAAGTCCATACTAAATGACAAAAAATAATATGTTAAAGTTTTCGAAGTGAATTAAATGTTAGGGTGACCAAATGAGTAGAAGAAAAAGTCAAGGCACTCGCAAGAAAGCCCCCCTCCAAGTAAAGACACACAATCGCATTTTTGTGGTTCCTGGTTACTAAAAAAGGTCGAAAATTTGAGATTTTTCAAGTGTTTATTATGCATTCGGCTTTCGTTTAACACGATTACACAGTGCTTTTAGCTTCTTTTGTTACGGGTGGGACAAGACCAATAATGCTTAATAATAGCTCAATCAATATAGATAAATTTAATATATAACACAATTTTATTAAAAGCAGATGAGTTCTACTATATATTTCTCTTACCAAACACTTGAATTATGAATCGCAAATTATATGACAGTACTTTCAACACGACCTACTTTAAACTCACTCAAAAAATTTACTTAGAACTTGATTTCAAAAAGTAAAAAAGGTAATAATGCATATAAAGTTTTAATTTGTTATTTTTTGGTTGATTCAAGTTTCTTGTCTTGTCTTGTCCACACGTTTGTTAGTTTTATAAAGAAAATAATTTTTGCACTGAGGTTCAGTTTTCCATATGGTAAAAAGGGCATACACTATTGTGTAAAACTGAGATTGTTAAAGTTACCATTTTGTGTTAATTTTTTATAAAAAGATGGTTCATGCTTTAATCAAAACAATATAAGTCAATCAAACTTTCAATTTTTATAGAGATCTTAGAAAAAATTTTAACTTCTTAATCTGAAATTTTAGGAAACATTTGGGTATGCAGTTTTATAGCAAGTTAAATTTTGGTATAAAAAAAGTGCGGCTAAGAAATCTCGTTTATTTAAAAATTTATTTTTTTTGTTCTTTTTTTTTGCTGACGACATTTTGCACTTTTTTCCAAATAAGCATAAATTTTTTATGGTAGAAAATGCTCAAGACCGTTTGCAAAGAACTTAAAAAAAATCAACGCCAGTTTTTATAAATTGCACTTATGTATGAAAATAACCGCAAAGCCGTCAGCAAAAAAAAGTTAAAAATTAGCGCGATTTTTCAGCCACTTAAAACTTGCACTTTATTATACTAAAATTTAACAGGCTATAAAACTGAATATCCATGCCCTATCTCAATGTGAATGTAATGTTTTTGAACCATTTTCTGAGATAGGGCGTTCTTCAACCAAATTTTGAGTCATTATCTGGGATGGACGTTTTCGAACCGGCTGCCGAGATAGGTCGATCTTCCATTCAGCCTATATTTTAAGAGTCCTTGAAGATATTTTGCAACAATTTCTCCGTGAATCTTATACAAGAGTCGATGAAAATTCATTTTTGCAAATCGTTTGTAAAACTTATGGGATTCTTGTAAGACAAGTTCTTCATCTAATGATTTGTTTTCTTACTTTTTGGCGGCTAGACACTTATTTTAAAAAATTTTTAATTAATTTCATGCAGTTCTAACGTCGTGAATACTAAACACAAGCTCGAAAGGCTGGTTTTACTAATGAAAGAAAATGCCAATCCCCAAAATCAAAGATCTGTTTATAGTTTTAAAATATTTTAAATAGATTTGGATCACAAAATTTCTTAAATATATTGTATGTCAAAATATATTCGAAAGACTACACTTAAACTCTCTTAACCGTTTTCTGCTTCTGGCCAGTTTTCTAAGCTCTCATCCTCCGGCGAACCGTTGAAACAGAACTCCGTTGTACTAATTTTTACCACGTTTTTATAAACTCGCTTTCTTTTTTATTTCATTTTAATTTGCACAAATTTACATATCGTCGTTTAAAGTACAAAACCGCGTATCAACAAAATTCAAAACCGCGTATCAAGATAATGGAAAACCGCGTAAGTAAGGTTGCATAAATTATTTTCTAGAGAGTAAAAACATTTATATTTCTAAATGGTTCTCTTTTTATAAAGCAATCGCATTTCTGGCTAGTATATTTCAGGACGAATGGATAAGAATTGAGCCAGGAGCTTGTGTGGGCAAGCCCAATTTTTGGCAGCAAATGTCACGTCACGCGGTCTTGCAGAATGACTATACGCAGCTTTGTACATTAAACGACGATATGTACATATGTATAAGTACACTATTTAGTTTGCTCGATTTGTAAACAAAGCTTCTCAGCGGTGAAAAATATTCTATTGTGAACAACCTAAACGAGCGAAATTCACAATAGAGCTATTCTTCATCGCATGAGCGCCATAATGCCCTGGAAAATCGTTCGATCAACACTTTCGGCCACAGTCGAAGATCGAATGCAACTCATAATAGGGGCCTTTAATTATTGTTTACGTATGGTCAGTAAGTAATTCGCTTTTCTACTCACCCCTCATTCTTCCACAATTGGTCCATGACTCGCAGCATCTGCAGTGTTAACATATCCTGTCGCAGATCATCTCCATTTTTGAAAATTATATAGATATCATTGCAACTTTGATCAGCATTCTTCAGTACAATCCATAGCGGCCTCATTTTTGAATCCATAACTTTGCATTTGTCCGGTTGGATTCCCTTGCAACGAAAACTCGGATTTAATGGATTTTGTATTCCTTGAAAAATATTACTGTTGCTTTGTCTAGAAAAAAAATCTTGCATTTCTTTGCGACCCTTCTCTTTGCTTCCCTTCTTTGCGATCAAAGAACCGGCTTTAAGAGCATCGAGAACTTTAAGCTGATTACATAGATGCGGCACATGGGGTTTGCAGCCTTTTAAATATCCCTCGAGTAAGAGACCAAAGCGTGTTTGCATCGAAAGTGTTTGCATTTCAGAACGCAGGTGCCAGAAAAAGTAGTGGCCGATACGCTGGTTTCGCAAGGCACGTTCTAGTAGAAAAGTTACCAAGTCACAATCTAGATAAGATTCGTGCTTTATAGCCTGTACTAGTTGCAAAAGATATAAGAGCAATTCCTCATCTCTGCGAAATAAAAGAGCAACTTTTGTTCACAAATCACTTTAAGATTTTTTCTTTTTTATATCCACCTCAGAAAATGCAGACAGTGTATAGCAAAACTTCGCACAGCTGGATCTGGATATGCATAGTCAAGCAGTTCAAGCGATCTTTCCACTGAAATTGTAGGCCATTGTTGTAATAACTTCCAAGTCTCTGCGACCTCGTCACGCTCATTCCAGTTAACACAATGCAGCAGAGTTGATAGCTCCTCAGGAGCTTCAGCTAAAATTTCATATCTGCAAAGATAATAGGTACCGTTATGTTTCTGTATAATTAAAAATATGAATTTTACCTCCTAGACCATATTGCATTGCGATCTTGATCATGCATTTCATAGACTTTATCAATGCGCAGGTACTGTGATAACATAGCGCTAATCGGTTTGGTGTTTTCTTCTAATTTGTCGCGAGTTAATTGCTCACTAGGATCAAGCTCTCCTGCGTATTTTAGCACTGCCTCCATTGATGGAAACTGTATATTTTCTAAGCCGTTACTGTAAAATAATATAAAACAACAAATTATTAATTGCAGCACGAAATTTTTTTTAATTACAGCCTAACCTGTGAAATGTAAGCTTCACTATAGCACATCCATCTTTGCGCGGATTTGGTTCGATTGTACCTAGTGGATGGAAAATTTCGTCCGACCGTATGTCATCAGCATAAGTCCATGTGTAAAGTGCTTGACAGCCAGTACGCATTTGATTCTTGTAGTCAAATATGGTTGTATTCACCCACGCCAAAGGATTGTTATTCACATATGTGTTGGCTTCTTTGTATACATTATCGCGATTTATATTAGAAGACTTCTTGGAGCGCGATGCTTTCGTTACTTCGTAAATAGCCATACATAGTCGTGCCATGCGCGGTAAATTTTGCACTTGTATGTCGAATGAGATGTCTTTCTCGAATGTGAACGAACGATTATTGCTAATTGCATTTTCTATGGATTGTTGAGCACATAAACGGCGCTCACCATGGAAGAGACCAACATGTACTCCCACTTTTATAGCACGCGAGAGGTCGCAGTTTACATTCTCGATTTGATGTAAACGCAATCTAAAAGGTGTCACTAAGTCCCATGACGACGTGATATTTAGGTTCTGAGTAGGTATTTTAGCGTTATGTAGTGACGCTGGTATACTTTCCGGTCTACGTGATCTAGAGAAGCTCAAATCGTTCTTGTAACTAACATACGATTGTAGTGTGTGAATGGGCTTTAGAACAACATTCGGCACGTCAGATCCGGAAAGACTTTCCTTTAGAAATACATAAGATTAATGTTTATATGTATATGGTGATTTCGATTGCAAATCTATTAATTGTTTACCTGAATATATATGAATTGTATAAGAGGGTATTCGCCAAATAAAAATTCGTCTCGACCACGTACTTTTAATATATAGTCGGATGGTCGATCCCCAACCCTTATTTGAGAACGCTGCATCTTCATAAGTGCTGACTCAATCACTGTGGTAGAGGTGTCGCTCTCACTAACGGGAATTGTATAGGAACCTTCGTCGTTTTCCAATTTCACAACAATCAGAAAACTTGTACCACCCAGCCGCTTTCGAATCAATTCTGGCATAACATGGGTATTTGCAATGCGCATCGGATGTTCATAAAGCAGTTTTTCTGCCCATGTGAAACGGGAACGCACTTGCTCCATTTTGTCACAGAGGTGTGCAAGTTTGCGCCGAAAGTCATCAACCTCAGGACTACGTTGCGAACTATACTCTTCAAAAGATTTCCCAATCATGTTACTCACCAGTTTGGAGAGCTCATAATCACTGGAAATAGATGATGTTTCAGTACGTTCACCCAAACGTAGCAGGCAAAAAAAGGGCTGTATTTCAGATAGACGCTTAGTTTCATCTGTGAAACAATCAACGTTGGCAAAATTAGAAATGCCACTAACTTCATAGTCGCAGGGATCCTTGATTAAATGACATAACGGAAAATTTTTAGCTTCTCTTACGACTTCCTAAAACGAAAAATTACAAAATGTTATATTGGAAAACATACATACTTACATACATATAAAGTAAATTAGAAATCTATGAATTCGATGTTGCATGCCACAGGCCTCATGCATAAAAAGGGAACTTAGCTTCAGACTAATTTTTTGTACTGATAAAGTTAGTTTAACCTTAAGAATTTCTGCTGAGAGTCGAGTAGGGGCTTAGTCTCACTTTTTATGCATGATTTTGGAAATAATATGTCTACAATATTAGACTCAATTTGACAGAACACTCAAACAAATCGCATCGTCAGCGATCCTGATTGAGGCATTCGATTGCGAAAAAAATATCGTGTTACTACTATTAAATTCCACCATGGTTTTAAAATTGTTTGGATAAGCTTCGCGGCGGTTAAGGTTGGTTAAAAAATGATGCTTGTAATATGTATTCCTACAATTGTATGTACGGCATGCAATTTTGCACACTCAGCTACAGCTGTAAACATTTGTATGTTCAAATGTTCAGTTTTAATAGAATTGCTAAAAATTCGCGTTTCTAATTAATACGATGATCTTAAATCTAAATCTGAACAAACTTACAAGACATTTAATTAATATTAGATACGTGGAATTTATTATACAAAAATGTTAACGCGAATGTCGTATACCGTTTTGTATTTAGCCTGCAAATTTAACTGAAATATGTATATGCATACATATGTCCTTATACAAATCGATTCAACCGATTTGATGTATTAGAAATCTACTTACCGCTTTAATTTCTCGGATTGTGCAGTTAATAGGCACGACCATTAGAATAAGAACGCCATTTGGCATAAGGCAACTGACTTCGGCGAGTTCAGGCACCTCATACCTCCAGAAGTCGATGGAGTCGGTGGGACATGCTAGAGGAGCCATCTTTGATGTAAATGTTGTTTGAAGATTGTTTTGTTCTGAACTCTAAATAAAATTTGAATTTGTTATATTTTTTGATTACGATGATCCTGCATAGCAACGTATCATTCCAAAGATGATATCCTGCACACTTTCAACAATCTGTGTGGTAAGCACGGGGTAATCATTAGCAACCGCTCAAATCACTTCACTGATCCGGATGGTGTTAAGAAATAAATTAAAAAATAAAGTACATAGGAATCAAATTTTTCTTTACACATACATACATACATACTTACAGATAAGTGCATATTTTATCGGGCAATTGGCTTTTATTTCGGCGTTAAACATTAAAAGTAGATATTCTTAATAAAAATTCGTTAATCATTAAATATTTTTATTGTGTTGTCTATCTCTATTTACTGATCTCTGAAAATAGCGTGGTTCAAAAAAATTTGGCATATATTTCTGCTGTTGCATATACATATACTAATTTTCACGTCGTATGCCTCAAAACGAACATCGTTTTATTTACAAGTCGCACCAATCGCAGCTACGGTTGCCGTTCCATGTAGCCCTCATGCAGCTACAACATCGCTACCTACACCAACTTGACAAATAGTTTGGTTTTTTAGGAAACTGGAATATTACGTCTCCTTAATATTGTTTATTACTATAAGATGAATTTTTGAATATAGAATATTTTCTATTTTTAATAAGTTTCTAGCAAATTAACGAAGAACACAATTTAGCCTAATAGCTTTTATAATAGAAGTGTCAAACTATCGATGGCACTATCGATAGTAGCGATAGTTTTATTTTATGCCCCTATCGATGAGTAGCGATAGTTATTCTCAAAAAAAAACCATCGATAGTACTAGTCGACTATCGATCAGTTTTTTAAGTTTTAAGGTAACTTAACCTGTTTATATGGCATCAAACGCGGTAACGAATTAACTCATGTCAGCGTAGGTCGCTTGAAATGCAACACAAGAAATAAGTCGATCGAACACAATTTCAAACAGAGTTCATCCCGATGCAACCCTGTTAATACATGTGTCAATTCTTGAAACTGATGAACATTGAAAATTAATAATTTAAGACTCAAAATACCATGTAAAAATTATCTTAGCTATTAATTTTATAACTGGGGCATGGAAATCTATGCAAATACATGTTTTTTTGGACTTAGGTGAAGCGAAATAGTAAAGTAGATGAAGTATCATGAAATTATCTTAAAAGTGGCATTAAAATTTTTTGCATATTTTAGTCATGAATGCATATTATTGCATATTTCGGATTTTTTTGAATTTTTTTAGTACATATTTTGTATTATATTGGCTCTTGACAGAAAACTTAACATAACATAAAAGTGTCGGTTTTTCATGTTTCCGGGCCATTCTGTAAACCATTAGCAGGCAATTTTTAGTAACAATTTTATTCCAGACAAAATTTTGGAGAAAAATCAAAGATTTAAAAAAATGTTTTACAAAATGAATATACTCCAAGCGAACTGGTCGCTTTTAAGCATGCTCCATTTATTTTTTTGGACGTAGAAAGTTTATTTTCTATGTATAAAGCTGATGCCAGATAAAACTTTGTAGCTTTGCGTGACATTTATAACTTTGCCAGCAAAGCGCCAGACGCAAAAGGTATGCCACAATGAACGCCAAGAAATCAATTTTTTACTCGTCAAAATTGCTGTGGATTTTAGATATTTTGCTTTAAAATTATCAGCAATGTAATTGAGTTTTATGTTTCAGCATGAATACTCGAATTTGGACGAAACAAAATAAATATTAAACCGGCTGATTGTCAAAGCGCGCAAAAAGATGGGAGTTGGCCATCTTTTCGCTTCGCGCTGCAGCTTCAATGATATATGTGGCATGCTTTGTGCATTTTCATACAATTCATCTTAGCTGTCAAAGCGAATCTGTCACGTAAAGCGAAGCAAACGTTTTATGTGGCATCAGCTTAAGAGCTTTTTACGACCGCACCAGGAAAATTTTGTGTTTGAGAATATGAAAAAATATTTCATTGTGGGTGCTAATGAGTAGCTAACTAAAGATTCAGCTAAATTATGTGTGTAAATTATTAAGACTGAATTTTTCTATATATATGCATCCGAGTATTGAAATGCAGGTATTTGCAAAAACCAAAAATGAATAAAATATTTTTTGTACCTAACTTTTATCTTTAAAAACTTCAATAAACGTATGAATCCACTGAAGGGTTACACTTGTTAAATACGCCTTGGCTTAGCGTAAATGGAATTTCAAGAACTAAATGGTTTTCACAGAGTTGCACGGAACAACCGTGTTGACAAATTCCGTGTTTATATGGACTCTTAAAGCCTGCTATACAGTTCAATGCGAGCGTGATCGTGAGCTTTTCAATTTAACCAATAGGGCCCTGTCACACGGTCAGTATTTATTAACGTGATCCAAGTATCGCGATATTTATGGACGGTGTGGCATGCAGTATTGATGGATCGTGATCTAAACATTTTGAAATCTGGATCGCGGATCGCAATACCTTCAATAAATATTGAACGTGTAGCACTTTCATACTGTGGCGAATACTGCGGCAACACAAAGCGAACAACGAGAAATAGGCA